TGAGCATCGTGGCTTGTATATCGCCAGAGGCTCACATCAACTTGATAACCTCTGCAGTTAATGTTGATCTGACAAATATCTGAACTCCCTTCAGGAATCTCAATAAAATTAATTATAGACCCTTTATACAACACATGTTAGTCCCAGCGTGGAGAATTCAGCACTAGCATGGAAACCAAGTCTGAAAATGCATGTTAAGAAACTGAAGAAAGTGTAGAGGTATGCAAAGAGGCTTGTTCCAGAGATAAGCTGCGAGGAGAGGCTTTTGGAATTAAGTTTTATGACATTGGAGGACAAAAATCAGACGAGACTTGATAACAGGTACTCGGGGGCACAACAGGAAATTAAAGACAGATGAGCCACAGGGATGTCAGGAAGCATCTCTTCAATCTCAGGGTGGTCAGGAAGTGGAATGACCTCGATGAAAAAGTGGAGGTAAGTTCCATACACTGTTTTAAGAGCAGGAACATTGAGGCCCATAAGCTCAGAGCGAGTGAATTTGGCAAGTGGCAAGTTAAGAGGCAGGGCCAGGAGCTGGTATTTGACCCCTGCAACCACATATGGGTAAGCGCACACACACGCAGTTTCATTTGTACTTGTACCTAATATTTTGTCAGTAATTCTACCAATTTTACCCTTAACAATGAGGTTGTTGACCAGCTGCCACAGCCTATCGTCTGACTTGTGTAGTTTATAATAAATTTGTTTATATTGATTCTGGCTACTTTTATTACCTAGGATGATCCAGTAGGTCTCCTGCAGTGCTCCTTTATTCTCATGTCTTTATGTGATTAATTCAAACTGTTATTAATTCTTTATGGTTTCTATGGAGACATAAATGTATGAAAGTTCTCAGGCATTTCTCATCTGTCACTAATCAATGGTACTTTTAGTCACGTTTTATGGTGATATCTTTCCACAGTGCTAACCACACATTGTTTGTGTTCTCTGCACATGCTCTCCATCTTATTTCTGTGGCTGCTAATAGTTTTATTTTCTTATTTAAAACATTAATATTATTATTATTATAATCAAAAAGAAGCGCTAAAACATTAATAAAATTAAGTTACGATGTTATGTAGATATCAGAGCCCCCCCCCTCTCTCTCTCTCTCTCTCTCTCTCTCTCTCTCTTATATATATATATATATATATATATATATATATATTATATATATATATATATATATAATATATATATATGAGAGAGAGAGAGAAAAAAAAAATTAGGTAGCTTTGGTATCTACATAGCAAGATATATTTATTGAAATGGCCGAATCATTGATTTTCAACGCCTTGTTTCCGAAAAAAAAAAAAAAAAAAAAAAAAAAAAAAAAAAAAGGCTGAGAAAATGGTTAACGTTAGAGCGCATAAATTCTACAAAGTACAGTTTTAAACAAACTCTTCCTAGACTTTAAATAAACCACTTAACGTGCGTCCTTCACACAACTTGTCTAAAGGTTAGTCGTAACCGGAACCTTAAGTTATCTTCATTAATTGTCAAGTATAAAAGGGCAAGACGTGTAAATAATAATTTGTTGTCAACTTGTCTAATTAATAACCAGATGAAAATGCGACATGTGTACTAGGTCATGATTATTATTATTATAATCAAGGGGGAAGCGCTGAACCCGGAGGATTATACAACGCCTGGGGAGGGGGGATGTGGAAGGCATTCAGGCTTAATTCGGGGAACGAGCACAGATCCAATTCCCTAAATCAAGAGCCCCTCACCAACATCAAGGAACCTTCCCTGAGGGGACTAGGTCATGAGTAGGTTCCTGCCTGCACACACTGAGTAGGTTCATGCCTGCACACACTGAGTAGGTTCCTGCCTGCACACACTGAGGCGCTGACCTGCTCAGGGTGACGGGCCGTATGAGGAATGATAAACTTTTCTTGAAATTGGTAGGAATAAACTCACCCTATTGCACAAAAAAAAAATACATAGAAAAGATTCAATGAGAAGTTTTGGTTCAACTATTAAGACAGAGTACAAATGCTCAGAGGAAAGGATTGTACAATAATTGTTTTAAATCTGTACTGGAAAAAGAGATGATCAGGAGAGCAAGAAATTTATATTTTAAAATGAGGAGTAAATTAAAAAAATGAAAATTATATGCTATTAAAAAAAAGAAAATGAAGGGTTCTTCATATTCACATCAGGAGGAAGTTAATATTTCTGGGTCAAATGTTAAGAGAAGAAATATAAGAGAATTCTTAAAGGGAATAAGAATGAAACATTTTAAGAAATTTACACAGAATTATGGAGGATCTTCGTCAGTGTCGAGGCAACAGTGGAACAGAGAGGAGCAGTTGTTCATACAGAATTAGCAAATATCCAGAGAAGAGTGGTAGAAAATATTTTTTTTTTTTACAGAAAGAGAGAAACAGACCCGACAAAAGCAACAGGTCTTGTCAGCATACTACCTTAGATGGTAAAAGAAAAAAAAAAAAAAGTTGCTACACTGACAGGATAGTTGGTGGACACTGACGAGATGACCACAGGTGAAAAAGAAAAAAACAAATACAGTGGAGTACTTTCGACAACATTTCACCCAGCATTGGACTTTATCAGTGTTAAGTGAAACGTACACATAAAGGACTCCCATTCATTTTGTACCCTTTCACCCCCAGAACCAACAACAATGAATTTCAACCAAACACAGCCAGATACCCGAAGATACCTAACGTGATTACAGTATTCAAGAAGAGCGCTTACCTGCTTTTTATGCAAAGAAACATTTATTTTGGGGTGGTGGAAGAAGGAGGGGACTACTGAGTGTGTTAGACGGGATAGAATATTAGGTTTTGTGAGAGTAGTTCTACTATGGGAAAACAAAGATCCAGGGCTTAACCCAGCTACTGGGCGTGTTGAAGCTCGTGTGATTTGGGCTGTACGTAGATCGCATCACGACAGAGTCAAGGGTGGCAGAAAAGAATCATGGAATGATATACCAATATTCCATGATGACCATCACTTGAAAGATTACGAAAAGATAGTGTAGTACCTTGGCAAGACAGATATCATCACGCAACTTGAACACTGGTTCAGGAAGGGAATGATTATGCCTCTCAAGCATAAACGAAATTAATAACTGACCAATGGATATCGAGCAAGAAAACTGTGCGAAGACTGCATATTCATTGCCTTCAAGAAACCCCTTAAATACAATGAAACGAAGGAAAAAAAATTACTGACACAAGTAGGAACTTCGGTCAAGATACTGGCATAGATTGAAGGAATTCTTGAACAGTGTAATCTATTCTCAGTGAGAACTGAAACACAGACTCAGTCGTATTTCCCAGAGTACACAAACACTCAGTCGTAGTTTCCATACCAGTCCTAGTATACCTCAATGACCTACCAGAGGGAATACCATCTTATATTTCAAATTTTGCAAACCAACCGAAGTTAATGATGAAAATGCAAGCAGAGGAAGACTGCGGGAAACTACGAGCTACACCAGTGGTGCTGGAGGTGGTGATGGTACTGATGGGGCTAGAGGTAGTGATGGTGGTGATTGTGGTGTGGTGGTGGTAGTGGGGAATAGCAGTAGCGGTGGTAGTGATAGTGGTAGGGAGACAACAGTAGCAGTGGAGGTGGTGAGATTGCAGTGGTAGTTGTGGTGGGGGAATAGCAGCAGTAGTGGTAGTGGTGGTGGTGGAAATTTTATGCTAGTAACGGAGCCACAGACCCCACCCGTCCAGTTTTTGTTCACTGGTGCAGCTGAGAATACCAATGGCAGGCAGGAACACCTTCCTAGAAATACAGCTGCAAATATTTAATGCAATACGCGAAGCTTATTAAGCGTAATGGGCTGAGATGACGCACGTGTGAGCGCTGGAGGGGCAATCAGCCCTTGTTTATACCACAAAGTGCCTGAATACCTTATTAAAACCCATGTTCCCACTCATCCTAAACCCGCTCTCCCCACAAGCATATTCAGAGCCTTGGGCTTTACTATGATTGACTCATACACTTGGATAATACACAACAGTTCGTAGTTTTGATAGAAGTAGATAGTTGTTCTCAGCAGCCTCAGTGTGTATTTATAAGTTCTCCGCTATGTGCCTTTTCCATGTACTCCCATGTACATAGAGGAGAGGAAAAGAATGAAGTACACATGATCATGATTTAAGATCCTCAGAAGACTCGCTGTGACAGACATACTGAGAGGAGAGGAACTGAGACAGAGAGAAACAGACGTGGTGGTTAAGAAGTGAAACTTACAGGATGAGAACTTAGTGGATGAAGATTCCTTACACCGTTGTAAAAAACAGGTATGATGGGTCTAGTGTGAACAGAAATAGTGCGCTACCGTACCTGAGTAATTGAGAAGTGGTGCCAGGAGCCGAGACTGGAATCCCTCCAACCACATTAGAAAAGAAATTCGTTACCGAAGATCAGGAGGGATTAATGTACATCAAATTCTGCTTTACGAACCTATTAAAAGTTCTACGACTGAATTACAGAGATCAAGCCAGAGACGGAGGTGGATTGACTGCAGAGTTCTAAACACTAGGAGAGACTTTCATACTCGGGAAATCTAAAGACAGTCTTGAAGGACCTAAACAAAGCTTTTTAAGAAGCTCTGTGCAGCAAAGGGCTCTCACCTGATCTCTTACATACAAAAATTTAGGAAAAACCCATGGATTCGATAAATTTTCAGTCCCATGAATTGAAAGGAAAACACTGCAATTAAAGTCTAAAGGAAGTGAACTTTACGATTTTAGCGACGAACCTGGGGAAAAATATAAAGCCGGAAAAGATATTCAGAGGGTACGGTGGCCATACGTGTTGTATGAACAATGAGCAGATTTGTGTTGCGTGAGAGCTGCAGGCACAGTGACCATGTTTGTTAGTTACCATTCTGTGAAAGGCACTTTGTGTGTTGCAGGTACAGTGACCGTGTGTGTGTGTGTGTGTGTGTGTGTGTGTGTGTGTGTGTGTGTGTGTGTGTTTGTTGCAGGTACAGTGACCATGTGTGTGTGTTGCAGGTAAGGTGTCAGCGGTGCTGGGAGCTTTGGACGGGGTGATGCCCATGTTGAGTTTCTCCCTCTACACCGCTGTCTACCACTCCACTGTCAACATCTTTCCCGGGGCGCAGTTCTTCTTCGGCAGTTCCGTTAACTGTCTCATGGTCCTCATCTTCGTGTAAGTACTGCGTCCTCACTCTGAACTTTACTGCCTCATACTCCTCATCTTCATGCAAGTACCGCGTCTTCACGTTCACTAATTGCCTCACCACCCTCACCTTCATGTACTTTAGGTCCTTTCTTAAGAAAGCTTCGTCTTAATCCTTATCTTCCTGTACGTACTGTCATCTTGGTCCTGGTGTAAGTGCTGTGACATCACTAATTTCAGCTTCGGTAAAGATGTTACATCGTCGTACGAGATATCATCGCTTAGGAATAACTCATATATCAAAAACAAGTTGGTATAACATGGCTTCGACGCCAGAAAAAATGTATCTGTAATTTAAAACGTACACTTCATAAAACAATTAAGGACTTCGTTTAATTTTCATAATAGCATTACATAAATAATATCTACACCGAGAGGTTGTATCTCTCAGTGTATATACCCCGAGAGATGTTTATTTCTCGGTCAATATACACTGAAAATTTATTTTAACCGCTAATTTGGAAATTAATGTATCCTTGACTGGTGTACATGAGACATGCAGCCTAAATAACCCTCGTGTAGTAGATACACATACACATACACACACACACACACACACACACACACACACACACACACACACACACACACACACACACACACACACACACAAAGTGCAAAGGTTTGCAACAAGACTAGTCCCGGAGCTAAGGAACTACGAGGAGAGGTTAAGGGAAATCGACCTAACGACACTGGAAGACAGGAGAGATAGGGGGGATATGATAACGACATATAAAATACCGAGAGGAATTGAGAAGGTGGACAGAGACAGGATATTTCAGAGATGGGACACAGTAACAAGAGGTCACAGTTGGATGTTGAAGACTCAGATGAATCACAGGGATGTTAGGAAGTATTTCTTCAGTCACAGAGTTGTTAGGAAGTGGACTAGTCTGGGAAGTGATGTAGTGGAGGCAGGATCCATACATAGCTTTAAGAACTATGATAAAGCTCATGGAGCGGAAAGAGTGACCGAGTAGCGGCCAGTGAAGAGGCGGGGCCAGGAGCTGTGACTCGACCCCTGCAGGCACAACTAGGTGAGTACACACACACACACACCACAAGCACAGGCGACCAAAATAAATATAAATCTCACTATTTGGTTTTGTTGGAGTACCCAGAGACAAATATTCATAACTTATCATCAGTGCATATCTATGATAATAATGTCTTAGTATAAACATTGTCGATTTATTAAACATCAGTCTCTGAAAACATCTGTAAATTTAACCTATAAAAAAAATTGCTTACTCTTTCTTTCACAGAGCCTTCCCTCCCCCTCTCACCTACCCACACCATTCCTCTTTTCAACTCCTGCCAACTGTCTCTTCATCCTAACCAGTTCTCTCCCATCATTCCTCTTTCTCCTACTTAAAACCTTGCATCCCGCTCCAGCTTACATTCAGACCACCGTCTACCTTCTCCATATTTTTCTTTGCTCATTTCACACACACACAGTGTTAAAGACCAGTGTTAAAGAGAGAGAGAGAGAGAGAGAGAGAGAGAGAGAGAGAGAGAGAGAGAGAGAGAGAGAGAGAGAGAGAGAGAGAGAGAGAGAGAGAGAGAGAGAAAGGAGAAGATGAACTAGATTTATCCGGCATAGGTGAAACAGAATATGAGAACTCGCACTTTAATATGTTAAGAAACTGAAGAAAGTGAAGCGATATTCAACGAGGCTAGTTACAGAACCAAGAAACATGAGATACGAGGAGAAACTAACCTGACTAATGGAACTGGAAGAGAGAAGACTCAGGGAAGACATCACATACGAAATTCTCAGAGGCACTGATAGAGCAGACAGGAACAGACCATTCAGTAAACAAGTATTCGGGGGCACAGATAGAAGTTAAAGACAGATGAATTACAGAGATGTCAGGAAATGTACATTGATTGCCAGGATGATCAGGAAGAGGAATGACCTCAACGAAGATGTGGTTTAGGTAAGATCCATATACAATCTTAAGAGTAGGAACAATAGGGCTACGAGGCTAATAGGCAGTGAATCTGACAAGCTCAAAGTTGAGAGGCGGAGCCAGGAGCTAAGATTCTACCCCTGAAAACACTTAGGCGAGTACATATAGGAGAGAATTCTAACCAAGCTTAATTCACCTTCAGTCACCCATTTCCCTATACCATCCTGCCACTTTCTTGCACCTCTGCCAATATGATTTCTCCCCCATCACTTCTCTTCACTCCCACCCTCACCCATCCACGAGACGTCAAGAACCACGTATCAAGAAGAACCCAGGCAACCAAAGGCAGAATGAAATGTGCATCAAGGTAATGTTCAAGTATTAAAGGAAATAGCCAATCAAATCATCAAGCTTAATGACAGAATAGGAAAGAATGACTTAGTTTTACTACAAACACAGAAAACAAGCAAAAATAAGTTCGTTAACAGATGACATCTTTCCAAGAGCCTACCACATTATTAGAATAAAAGATAGTGAGGCGAGTATAACCTTATTGTCCCACTCAACCACCTCTTTGTCCCCCAACCCTCACCCACTTCCAGCCAATTAAATAACCTAACGCTAAACAAACGAGAGCTCCGGCAGCCAATAGGCAGGACAGAAAAACTGTCTGAGCATTGTACACAAACACTGAAAATATATTCAACAAGAAGAGTAAATCTAATGACAGAGTTAAAAAGACCACAAGACTCACTAAATTTGAGCTATCACGCGCCGTCCCCCCCCCCCAAAAAAAAAAAAAAAATCACCGAGAGGTATTGTGATGTCTTGGACAACTGAAAAAATGGTGATCTCCATCTGTGATAAATTTGGACAGCACATCAGGAACAATAATCCCTAAAAGTCCTAAAACAATTAATTACATTATATGTAAGGAGACAGCGACGAAAACGAAACAGCACATCATAAGAACAGCATTGGTGCCGCAGCACAAGAACGAGGCTCCTCTGTCTAAACAGTTACATTCAGTGTGATTTGATTTAGCATTCTTAGTCTCAGAAGTAATCAGCTGACTCCCCAAAGGAGTTTAACCAGATCTACGTACAAGAAAAGTTATAAAGTCACGAGCAGCCTTCTAACGGTAGTAAACTTAAACATTAATTGATCTACAACCCCTCCCCCCCCCCACAAAAATATTGAATTATGAATTTAAAAGTGTTGGAGAAAAAAATCAAACCCAAAAATAATGTGGACAGGAGGCAAAAAGAGCCTGAGGTTCAGTTCTTCGTGTATTGATGAGAGCCATAAAGAACTTTCCCGTTGATATACACATTATGAAGGCTGACAAGTTTAACTCATGGTATTCATGAGCAAAATTCTGAAAAGCAATTTCAGCAGAAAACAAAAAGAAATTAAAGAACAGCAAAAGTTAATTGGTATTGTCACTGTGGTAACTGGTACTTCCTGTTAAGGAGGGAAACAATGCAGTTGGTCTCAAGTCCGCCTGCCAACTTATACTCACTAGAAGAATTTAATCACTTCTTACAAACTTCATATGTTTACTGAAACCTTGGAAAGGCATTTTAATGCTTACACAGAACGAATAAATGTAGTATTGAGTATTATAATTATAAGAACGTGCTAATTCAGTAGGGGACATTCAGTGCCGGGGTAATAGGAAGTAATTAGAGTCGATCTCGGGAAGGAGAAGGTAGCCCCTAATTCTTTGAATAAAAAATCTTTTACGGGTCCAGCTTGGTATTGGGATCATTTTCGCTTCATGAAATTACAGTTACACACATCTACTTTATATTTCTACTGACAGGTTACATTATATTCCCTAGTTTATAATATGACGTGACATTCACATCCCTTGTACTCCTCAGTGTGGTGATCTTGGCTGGCAGGGGAGGCAACTACATGGTGGAGACCGCAGAGCCGCCACCGCCTCAAGGACCCGTCACTGAGAAGAGTCTGGTGGTCCGCAAGGATTCCCGCTGGCTCTTCGACGAGCAGAGCAACGGCAAGATCCGCCTGGCTACCATCCTCCTCTCTGCTATCAACTTTAGTATTGAGGCGCCCATGATTGAGTACAGTTACGGTAAGCCCCTGGAGACCATCCCAGAGGAGCCGGAGGAGGAGAGCGAAGCGGAGGAAGGAGGAAGTCGTAACTCTTACGACAACGCCGCCTACGACGACATCGAAATAACGAAATCATAAGCTTTTATACAACTGCACGTACTATTGCATGTTGAATACTGGTACACATTGTAAATATAGTTTCTGTATCTATATTGTACATTATGTACAAAGTGTATGATACTAAATGAGAGTTGCATGACGTATAAATTCCATGAGTGTATGTCACTGTTTAAGATTAGGTTAAAAGTTACTGCTGCACTATTAAGTGCTGGGAGCACAACCCATGACATTACTGAATCATGCTCTCTGGCAGCTTAAGCCACTGACTATGGTCGTAGAATATGTATATATTATATAAAAATATTATTCTTAGGTTTACTTGACAAGAGAGTGCCCGAGTTTACCCCAGGCGGCGAAACGAACAACAGCGATTCTCGTTTATCCGCTGGACGTCAACAGAACTACTCCTTTGTGTAATGGATGTGATGAACTCGAGTCAGAATTTTGTCGAGGACTAGCGACGGGTGCTCTCTCTCTTCTGACGACTCTCACGACGACCTGTTCACTCTTGGCACTACCTGCACATTCCTGTTTCTACCTGTTTACTTCTGGCTCTACCTGCACACTTTCTTCCCGATAACACGTGTACCTTTAATTATACCCTCACTCTTCCTATCCTCCTGACTTCCCCTGCACTCTTAGCAAGGGCGATGACCTCCGGAAGAGACTCCAAGTAAATACTTGTCAATATTTAATATCATTTATATATAATCTTTCCCCTTGCCAATAAATTATCATACTTCATTCCAATCCTTTCTACTCTTCTGCTCTGCCATGGCTATTGATCTTGACCTCTTCTCCGAAATATAGAATATATATTATTCCTGCTTACCATTCATATTTTATAAAGACCTGTTATACAAATGAGTACATTATTTCTTGAATTTATTCGTATTCCGCGGGCATACTCCAGCAGTACTGATTTAGGTATTGCTGCTATAGCTACAAGTTAATTGTGCACCCCACGTCCATCCTTTGGATGATAGCGCAAAGGCAAATGGATACACGAGGCCTAAGAAATAGGCCTCAAAATGGTTGAAAGGAGCGCATCTGGATGTACTGTAAATTTACAATTTGTCTTATCTGTTAGAAACAAATTTAGTGAATTTGCTTAATAAGATACATTGACATATCACAGGTTATGCTATATTTATATTTCTCAATAAGTGGCCAATCAGACACATAGTGTTCAAGAATGACTATAAGGCTAATCACATTTAATATGATCATCTGTGTCTGCCAAAGTGCCAGAAGTACTTGTAAGCAAGCATAAGTCGGGCTATCACAAGATCAGTCAGTGTACATTGCAAGTTGCTCCGTAAATGTGTTTACGGTCATGTTGTCATAGAGAGTTATGGAACAGCACTCGTGAACTGGTCACGTCTGGAGAATATCGGAATGGAATAATCTACAATTTCACGACCGTTTAAGATGCTTCGTAATACTACCTCTTAATTTACGACGAATTTTTTTATTCCTAAGGAAGCGATAAAACCGTTAGGATCATACAGACCATTGCGAATAAGGGTGGGAGGGCAATCAAGTTTGATCCGAGGGAGGGTTGCTCTAATTTCTTGGATAAGAACTCTTCAACAGCTTCCAGGCACCAAACTGGAAGAGCTTAATTAAATTGTAAGACTTCTTTTCATACATTCCTGGAGGCTAAGTGAGACGGTATAAACTTGGTAATAGATACCTACAAATTAGTTTAGAAGGACACGTAAACAAACACTAGGACATGTTTATTAGAAAACGTTTCGGTCATGGGACCGAAACGCTTTCTATGTTTTCTAAACCAGTATGTGATATAAACACATTACTGAGACATGGACTATGAAGGCCACGGTACTGAGGAAGCTAAGATAAAGCTGATTTCAGTTTTAAAAAGCTGATACATGGAAAAAAAGTCGGCAAAATAAAACTGGATTTTAAAACTAATAGAAATATTTGTAATGTCTCTAAAAAAAATAAACGCAGTAGAGACACTGAATTGTTTGTTAGAAACAAGAAATTCATGGCTACGTGTGTGTGTGTGTGTGTGTGTGTGTGTGTGTGTGTGTGTGTGTGTGTGTGTCGTTACCACACGGCACGAGCTGGGCAATTTTAAACTAATCAAATTATTATTTAGATTAGTTTTAATATTCAGTAGCCTGGTAGCAGTGTGTAGTGCTGGGCAGCACTCGCTCGGTAGGGAGCACTCGCTCGGTGGGAAGCACTCGCTCGGTGGGAAGCACTCGCTCGGTGGGAAGCACTCGCTCGGTGGGAAGCACTCGCTCGGTGGGAAGCAACGAGGAAATTGAAGTACAAGAGTCTCCAATCAGGGTCGACCAACCGCCGATCCTCTGGTACCAGAGATCATAGAAAGTATTAAAAATGCAGCAAAAGACAACAGTTAAGCGAGGGTTGAAACACTGGGCGTGTTTCCTTACACCGATTGTCTATGTTCACCCTTTAGTAATAATGGGTACCTGGGTGTTAGTCGACTGGTCTGGTGTGGATCGCATCATGGGACAATACCGACTTAATTTGCCCGAAATGCTCCACCTAATAAGCGGCTTTCTATGTAGTAGTATGTCACTGATGTCAGCTAGGCCTGGAAAAATAAAGATTATTATATTAAAAGCATTGAAACATGATGGTAAACGGTAGATCATACCCTCAGTAACCTATCAAAAAACCAACATAGGGCCGTCGAATGTACTTAGGTTTTGCTTAAAAGAGTAATAACGCAGTTTTCTTGTGATTATCACATCAGTCCAAACAACACCAACATGTTCTGGGAATTTTCCATTACCCCCAGACGTACTCAAACTCAACACGAGTGATTGCTCGTTCGTAACTGTTGAGAGCGAACACACACACAATGTGTTATAAAAATATTAATAAATTTATAATATATATATATATATATATATATATATATATATATATATATATATATATATATATATATATACGCAATAAGATCACAGTAAACAGGTGGTTTCAGAATATGCGAAACAACCACTGTGAAAGAATAGAGAAATTCCAAGCGCTCTCGCGACTACTCACATTATCAAGGAACAATAAAAGTAATGCATCAGAGGAAGGCATATAAAGGGTCTAGCCCACACCTCACTATCACACCCCACAACAAAGCAACACCTGACGCTCGACTCATAAGAAAGAGAAGAGAACATTGCAGCAGGCCCGCTGGGCCAACTAGACAGGTCCTTAACGCAACACACAAACTATTCTACCCAAGAATTAAGAATTTTAAAATTTTATTATTTGTCCAATGTATAATTAAATTCTTCCCAAATCCTATTATAAATGGATCTAATTTATATAAACCAAAGGAAATATTCATATTATTGTCAAAACTGCTTTTTATGAAACAAGATTCAATTATATTCCAGTCGACCATAGACTTGCTTGATACAGCTTTTTCAACTTTTTGAAAATCAATTGGATGGTTAAAATCTCTCACATGAATAAATAGAGCATTGGAATCTTGTCCAGTTCTAATGCTATATTTATGTTGTTTTAATCTTAGTTCGAGACTTTTACCAGTTTGACCGTAATAAACTTTTTCGCAAATTTTACAAGGAATCTTATAGACACATCCGTCAGCATTTTGGGGGGAATTCTTTATCAAAAGTTTTTTTTACTGTATCAAGATTTTTAAATACAACTTTGATATTAAAGTCTTAAGAAGAGAAGGCATATCAACCAAGTTTTCATGGTAAGGGAGAACCAACATATTTTTAGTTGAATAAGGCTGGTTGTCCCTTTTTGGATTGTAAAAAATATTTCTAGCAATTTTAAAAGATTTACCAATTACGTTTCTTGGGTATTTCAAATCATTAGCTATGTCATAGATTTTGGATATTTCCTCATGCTTTCCTATGCTTCCTATGCAGAATCAAAACTTTGGGGGCCCAGTCCTTGGACCCATTACGTACCTCTGTAATCTGTAAATACCTTTGTAACTTGTCATGATTGTGACTAGACCTACCTGGAGTTCATTACCTTCGTAAATTGTGAGTTCATTATCTTTGTAAATTGCTCAGCTATCAAAACTTTGGAGTCCAGTCCCTGGACCAATTATGTACCTCTGTAATCTTTTGACTACCGCCCACAGGATGGGTATGTGGTGTATAATAAACATATTAAACAACTATACAGAGTAAAGGACTATAGGTCGTGTGGGAGCTCTTCTGTGTATAATAATCTGTGAATATTACGTATATTAAATTACATAGCCACTGCTATATAGTCTTTATATTCTAGTGTAGAATTTTGTATATATCTGATTCATGAAAATTTATGTATAAGACAGTCCATGTATAATATTTCATATATAATCCTTGTAAATATAGCCCATGTAAATATAGCTTTTGTACGTTTTATATACTTTTCGTGTATAAATTAGTTCATGTATAAAATAGCACTAAAAATAGTCCATGTATAGTATTCTTTCCGTGAAATATAGCCGAGTACCATCTAATGTATTATAATGTATTATAATGTATTAATATGTATGTGTCCACTAATTCATGTATGTTAGAGTATATATAATATACGCTGTATTGTTTTTATATGTATATGGCTTTTATACACGATGTTGACGGAGTAATAAAAAAAAAATTTTGACAAAAATTTACGTTCGACATATTAAAAAATATTATAAAATACTTCAATAAAATGGAGACAAAAGTTTGAGTTTATTATTACCTCGGAGTTAATATTTACTTCATTTATTATTGCTATTCTTACTATTTTTACTGTGGTACACAGGTACACACGTGCTGCGTACAACTGTGTGGTACACAGGTACACACGTGCTGCGTACAACTGTGTGGTACACAGGTACACACGTGCTGCGTACAACTGTGTGGTACACAGGTACACACGTGCTGCGTACAACTGTGTGGTACACAGGTACACACGTGCTGCGTACAACTGTGTGGTACACAGGTACACACGTGCTGGGTACAATTGTGTGGTACACAGTACACACGTGCTTGCGTACAACTGTGTGGTACCAGGTACACACGTGCTGCGTACAACGTGTGGTACACAGGTACACACGTGCTGCGTACAACTGTGTGGTACACAGGTACACACGTGCTGGCGTACAACTGTGTGGTACACAGGTACACACGTGCTGCGTACAACTGTGTGGTACACAGGTACACACGTGCTGCGTACAACTGTGTGGTACACAGGTACACACGTGCTGGGTACAACTGTGTGGTACACAGGTACACACGTGCTGCGTACAACTGTGTGGTACACAGGTACACACGTGCTGGGTACAACTGTGTGGTACACAGGTACACACGTGCTGGGTACAACTGTGTGGTACACAGGTACACACGTGCTGCGTACAACTGTGTGGGACACACGTGCTGGGTACAACTGTGTGGTACACAGGTACACGCGTGCTGGGTACAACTGTGTGGTACACAGGTACACACGTGCTGGGTACAACTGTGTGGTACACACGTGCTGGGTACGACTGTGTGGGACACACGTGCTGGGTACAACTGTGTGGTACACAGGTACACACGTGCTGGGTACAACTGTGTGGTACACAGGTACACACGTGCTGGGTACAACTGTGTGGTACACACGTGCTGGGTACGACTGTGTGGGACACACGTGCTGGGTACAACTGTGTGGTACACAGGTACACGCGTGCTGGGTACAACTGTGTGGTACACACGTGCTGGATACAACTGTGTGGTACACACGTGCTGGATACAACTGTGTGGTACACACGTGCTGGGTACAACTGTGTGGTACGCACGTGCTGGGTACAACTGTGTGGTACACACGTGCTGGGTACAACTGTGTGGTACACAGGTACACGTGCTGGGTACAACTGTGTGGTACACAGGTACACGTGCTGGGTACAACTGTGTGGTACACAGGTACACGTGCTGGGCAGTGGTACACAGGTACACACAATCTAGGTATAACCTACATGGTACCACAGATGTTGACACTTTCATACCAGTTTTAAAGTCAAATATTTTATCTCACTGCAATACATTCTTTGAACAGAGTTAAGGTTTCCAGTACCTGGATGAGATTCCTGGGACAGGAACTCTCTTCTGTTGCTCCAGGTATTGTATGGCCCCCTACAGGTTTAGCATTTCCCCAATAATCATGATAATAGGTAAAAGGAGTCCACCCTAACGAACCAGATTAGGTAGCTCCGTAAAGTAATTATCAAATAAATCGCTAAACCGACAAGGATCATGCAGCGCTGCGGGGCAGAAAATAGTACCGGGGCTATTAACAGCTAGGTGAGGAGGGGGTCAGAGGTGAGGGGAGAAAAGAGCTGGAAGGGACGCTAAGGGCAATGTGTCAGAGTTCAAATAGTAAAGCAGTTGCTGAGAAAGTCAAAAAATGATCGTAAGTCAAAGGCAGGACCGTCTGCAAGTAGGGAAGATGAGGTAACAGCGGTAGGGCGGCGGCGTCGATGGAGGTAAATCCTGGGAGCTCGCTGGTAAACCGGGGAATCCACAAGAAAGTGAAGAACCGAAATAGGAACCCGACAAACCTTACAGAGAGGAATAAGGTGTCGTTCCATGAGATACCCATGGGTAAGGCGGGTATTGCCGATGCGAAGACGGGAGAGCGCAGTCTCCCGAGTACGGCAACAGTTGTAAGATGGCCACAAACCTAAAAACAGTTTAATAGAGTGAAATTTATGGTGAATGTCCGACCACTGTTGTTGTCAACGGCAGCGAAGACGGGCAGAGATGACTGTAAAATAATCCCTGAACGGTATACCTCTATAGGAAACCGGAAGATCACGTATCGCTGTCCATAAAGTAGATACTTGTAGTAGGTGTCAGATTTGTTGTTCTTCCTCTGTCGTCATGCAGTGTACGCCACTTCGGATCATCTTCAAATTTTTAATGAAGTATCTCTTAGAAGAAGATTTGAAGCGTCAATGTGCTCTTTGTTTGTGATTTTACCAATTTTATAAATGAAAATATCAAACGAAAGCCACTTTAACTTAATGATGTTTCTTTGGATCAGCTTCAAGCTTTCAACACTGGTGTATCTCAGTCAGAGGAAGACTCGGATTGCTATTATTATTATTACAAGCAAAAAGAATCGATAAACGTACTGATTGCCATTAGACAATGGCTTCAAATGCTATATTCAAACTCTTTTACAAAGCTGGGATGGTATTCACATGGTTTCAATCTTGGTCATGGTTATATATACTGTTTGTAAGCTGTTACTTGTAAATCAAACTCTGATGATATCTAAAAACTTCTCGTTGGTCACAAGCTTATAGCCAGGATCCCGAGGAATATTTGTTGTATATTTCACTGCGGCTAGAGTCTGAGAATCCTTAAGATAGGATATACGTACCTTAAACTTATTTAGGGAATCATGAAAGGCTGGGTTTAGAGACAATACTTTAAAATTTCTATCAACACTAGGATGGTATTGATATGATTTGCAATTCTGGTCAAGGCGAGATAATATTAATATATATATATATATATATATATATATATATATATATATATATATATATATATATATATATATATATATATATATATACATATACATATATGT